ATCCTTTGATATTATGTAGCTCATTATCCGCTGATTCCGCAGACAGAGCTATGTCCACTGCACCATAAAAAGTTAATTTTTCTTCTTGTAGGAGTTTCTTTTGGGTAGATGAATCAATGATGCCAGCAACAAATCTGTCACGTAAGGATTCTTGTAAAAAATCTCCAAAATAACACCTTTGAGCTTGGTCTTTTAGGCGTATCATATATTTAGAAATAGTTTCTCCAGACTTTTGATCCATTTTCTGAAATATGAATCTTTCATATATTATATTAGTTTTTGGATTAAAATGTTTTAATAAGATCGTACATAATTTATCAAAAGGAACTTGAGCAACTTCCTCCGGAAAAACTAAATTTCGCAAGATACTAAAATATTTAGGGCCTATACTTGAAATAAGAAATGGCGTCTTAAAATCTTCCTTTGTTTTAGAAATTAACATAAATTGTTTTAAGCGATATATATAATTTTCCACATTTTCTAAATTCTCATCAAATTTCTCAAACATACCTGAAGACATATTTGAAGTATAATTTCTTCTCACAAATCAATTTCTTTTTTCTTTCCAAAATTCGCTTTTCCTCGTCGCCAGTTGTTTAATGCTTGTCATTAATATTTAAAACACATTTACATTTTATATATTTTATTTAATTACGATCAAAATTACTTAGACATCACATTTAATTATATCTCATCACAAACAATTATCCTAACTATTTATTTATTTATTTCATCTCAATTTACAGGTGTTACATTCGAGCACAGCTCACGAGTCACCTTGTCCAGATTATTTATACATGGCGAGTTGTAATGCTGGAGTGGCCCCCCGAACCTTACAGGAGGGCAGTTGTTGGGTGTTTGGCTGTCAGCTAGCCATTGGGTCCAGGTCGTCGGATTCGGTGGCTGAGGTCACCAACTGTAGGAATTCTTCTTTTTTGAGTTTGATTCCGTTGCAATTCCAGAAAACGATTTTTAAAGGTAATTTGCCTTTCATTGTAAGAAAGTTTTGATAAATTCTAATAACTTTTCGCACAGTTCCCTGGTGTCAGAATGAGTAGTTTTCTTTTTTGCAGTTTCAGCCTAACTTGCCTTTTGTTTTTCAACAATTGCTTCTTCTGTTTTAGTGGAGCTTGCTTGAGGTATGGTGTTAGGGGAGTTTTGTCTGGGAGGCTTTAGCTGCTGTTGTTGTGGCTTCGGAAAATTTGGGCATCCGCGGTAATTGGCTGTGTGCGCCTCTCCGTAGTTAGCGCACTTTGGTGGGAGCTGTTTCGACTTTCTTGGACAATCCTTCGAATGGTGTTCTTCAGCACACTTGACGCATTTGGGCTTCAAAAAGCAGTTTAGCTGGCCATGCCCAAAACCCTGGCAGTTAAAGCATTGGGTCACTCGTTTTGTAGTCCTGAATGATTCCACGACTATTTTTTGGTAAAGTATTTCGGTTATTCCATAGATTCGTTTATTTTGTTCATTTTTCGGTAGCTCTACTAGGACTATATTCATCGGTATTTTGGTCGATTGTCTATGGAGTCTTTTGACAATGACCTCAGTGAAGCCCATTGAGACCAGTTCAATTACGACGTCTTCTTCTTTGAAGGCTGTTGATACCCCCTTCAATACCACTTTCAGTGGTTTTTCCTCCTGTAGTCTGTAGGAATATCCTCCATTATTTTTCTGTACATACTCCCTGATTTTTTTGAAGTCGCCTATGTTTTTCGATTTAATTATGTGCTTTTTGCCAGAAATCGTGACTTGGAATGGTTCCATGCACAAGTCTTTTAGCTCTTGGCAAAGAAGCTTCCAATCTGCTACATTTTCTGCAATAACAGGAGGAATTCTCGGTTTTTTCACGTTAGTGACTGTGGTCCATGGGCCATCGTTGTCGCTATTTTCTTCATCGTCTTGCGGTGGGTGAGCTGCGTTCATTTGTTGAGAAACTCCAGTGGCGGGACTTTGTTCGTCGATGTCCATTCTAGGCGTCTTCAGATTACGCTCGCTCCTAGTTGGCGATCTTGAGTCATCCGATTGGGAGCCGCGAATTCTCTTCTTTGATTGAACCGTTTCCTCAAGTTTATACTCGATTCCACATTTGTCTAGGATCTTCGTTATTAAGGAGGCTTCGATTATGCATAGTTTCTCGCCGGTTGGTCCGATCGTCGATTTAATTACAATCGGTGGCATATTATTTTTTGCCAAAACTAATTGTTAGTTTATTTCCTATTATAATATATTGCAATTTATTTAAGGCTAAAAACCACATCCTAACTATATAACATTAAGCTATCTATATTTACAGTTTGTTTTGGTCACCAGTCCAATATTTTTATTTTCATAGACCAAATTATGAGATTAATTTTAAAATGAAAATATGCAAAACAAATAAACAACTATATACATCAGTATACTATCTCACCCCGTCATGTATTGCTACACCCCTGACCCCAACTTCCCAATTCCGACAGCTCGCTGTAGGGTTTCTATTGACAACAAAGTAGAATTAGTGGACTAGAGACTGAAAACAGCACTGTTGGACACTGCCAACGCTGAAAGCCGGACTTACGTCTACACGCGAGGCCTCCCGTCGGAGTTTTGCGCCAGAGCCAACAGCCTAGTAATCAGTACCTAGTCCAATGGCAGTGGAGCGAGCAAGCTTGGAGGGGAAGTTGAGTATCATTCCACGCTATGTGAATACACAGTGTTAAAATAGTCGGGTCCCCACCCCCCCTCCCAGCGTGGAAATGACCAATGACCAAAGCGGGATAGTCTAGGGCGGCTAATCGTCGCAGTGGCCACCACAGGGGTGCAAGCACTAAACACCGACTCACTGCCCAATGCTGTCTATTCACTATCTAGATCATGCAACAATGGCATTAGTAGAGCCAGATTACAGGGAAGTCACACTGTGGGTCTCTCCATCTGGAACATCTGTTACACACAGCCACCTAGAATTCAGACTTTATATTCAACAGGTTGCTATTGTCACTCAGTTCCTTTTTTATCCTTGGCATTCGAGCGGTTTATAAGGTTTTTAATCTAGATGATTCTTGGTGATTTGAAATAGAAAAGTTAAAATTTCACAAGGGCAGAGCTTCCATTTTAGTAAAATAACAAAACACATTTCTAACATTGTTACTATCCAATTAATGGAGTAGTTCTAAAACCACAAAATAATCAAAACCCTTATACCATCTATAGAATCAATTCACATTTATTCAAGCTATATACGACACTATGTCAGGGATATCGTTAAAACATGTGGAATGGTTTCAAATATTTGTAGGTGATAATCCTATACTTATTTAAAAGCTAAATGTATAGGTTGTGAAGAAAGAAAGGTTGTTAAGAAAGAATCAATGGAAACTGTGTCCAGCTGATAAATAGATTCATTGGAAGATAAGTCATATCTGTCCAGCTGATAAATAGAATGGGACCCTCATCTACAAAGAGGTAGCATCTGAGATTGATACAATAGTATGGTTTAGTTGGTCTGTGTGGATATATCCGATATAAATTCCTACCTGACTTGTTGTCCATCATTGATTTAAACTTGCATTGAAGTTAATTACTTTTGATATAATATTTGATGTTAGGGCATCTCAAGTGCATTTAATAATCTATTGAGCTTTTTGTTGAATTTCTTAAGATTTCAACCTGGAATATCTTAATTCTTCCTCGCATCATCATAGATTCCAAAAGCAGGAGAATTATCCATATTCATTTTCTATATGAAGAGCTACTCATGATAGTTAATTATCTCTTCCATGTTCTCATTTTAAATATTTCCTTGTGTTTCAAATTTGTTGTTGTGAAGGATCTGATCTTGTATAAGCTAGATTTCAACAAAATTTCAAAGATGATCTCATAATTATTTTTTTTTCTGTAATTCTTGAATCACAATATTTCTTTTTTATAAATATTTCTTAATTTTATGCTAAAAATAAAAGTTGTTGTTCTAATATTTTGATTAGGCAAATTTTGAACTATATTTGGAGAAATAGAGATATGGATATGATAAATTTTAATATCTTGAAATTGTATATTTTTTCTGACTACTAACTACAATTGTTGTTATACCAAGCCTATAAAATTTCAAAAAAATAAAATTAGGCCTCATGGCTATAAATATTCTTAAATAACTCCATATTATTCTTTTTACATGGATATTGAGAATTTGCATATTTTATGAAGGACACTTTCCTCTAGGATTGCTACGCTATTGTTCACTTTCAAAGATATCTACCAAATCTAGTTCTTAACACCTTTGGTATTTCTAGATAGTGTAAATAAGAGATTATCTGATCAATTTGAATGCAATAATATCAAATCAATGAAGAAATGAAGTCTCGGAAAATGCTGGCAAGACAAATGTGAAATTTAGGGCTGCATTTTACAATTATATTGATATAGCTAAAGAGCGGAACTGAAACATCAATTTGTCTTAATACCTTGAAAATTACCTTTAATATTTGCTTCAGCCCTTAAAGAGTACCTACAGTACAGTATTCTGGATACAGTTTAAAACCACGAGAACAGGAGAGAACACATTTGGCCCATTTATATTGGGACTATAAATTAGGTTTATTATTCATTTCGACTTAGAACGCTATGTCCTCCTAGGGACACTTGAACTTTAAAGATAAACAAAAATTTCGAAAGAAAAGAAATAAAGATATTTCAAATATGTACAGAATTAGTATGCAAGTCAGATAAAAAAGTATTTAAAAAATATCAACACAATTGATTTATGTACAAAGGGTTGGTATGCAAATTTAGCTAAATGAAATCAAATTGTAAAGTATTGTGTGTATTCTAGAAAATCAATTTACAGATTTAAAAAAGTTTTATGGAATATTTTAGAATGAAAATATGCTAGAAATTATTCAATTAAAACAATACTAAAAATAGTTAAATCTACTTATATAATTGCCTTATTCTGTCTGTGTGAAGTTCACTGTGTGAAATTCACGGATAGATTTTGGTCAGAATGGATAAAATAAAAAAAGTGTCAAGGGATGGGAATCGAACCCAGGACCTTCCGCTTACCGGGCAGATGCCATGACCACTAGGCTACCCTGGACATATTTTTCCGTTCATAAAGTTAATATATAATGCTAATATATATAATAATTGTATAAACGAATGCAAGACAAAATCACCTCGAATGTTTCTTTTTTTTTTAAGGCAATTTCTTTTTAAGGCAATTATCGTTTTGCACAATTACTTAATCTTTTAAAATAAATAACAATACTTAAATGAAAATATGTTTCTTTAAATAAAATAAAATAAACTTTTAAATCGGTAACCTTTATGAGAACCTTTAAATATATATAAGTAACTTCGACATGATGAAATCTTTATGAAAATTCACATTTTTATTTTTATATTTTCAAGACACACACAGTTTGGGGCGGGACGTTTCACAAGAGAGACATCCACGGCGCCAATTTATAATTGTAACGAATAGTATTTTAATTAAAACATTTTAAAAACACACAGTTTGGAACGGGACGTTTCACAAGAGTGACATCCATGGCGCCAATTTATAATTGTAACGAATAGTATTTGAATTAAAACGTTTTTAAAATATATACGCACTCGGGTATAAAACCCGGGCGTTGCCCGGGCCATTCGTCTAGTTATAAATAAAAGCGTTCCAATGGAATTTAGTAGTTTTTTATAAAATTCAAAATAAATCTGCAAAACGAGTTGAATTTTATATATTTGTCTTTTGTTGAAATTATATCAAACGGGTTTGATACATTTAGTCCATTGTTTATTCTATACTCTTGGAAGACGGGGCAATTTAGCAGCAGATGAATAGAAGTCAGTTCCTCACATCCACAGAAGCATCTTGATTCTTGCACTGCTTTGATGAATTTTAAAAAGCTTCTAAAATTTCCGTGATTTGTAATTAATTGAGAGTTGTGGAAATTTGCCCGATTATATTTCGGAATATTAGCGGGAAATAAACTTTGAAATGTTTGGTTAGTATTAGGTTATTAGGTATAAATTAGGTTTGTAATAGGAGATAGATCATCATTAAAGTCCATTCCAACCATTCCTTTCCTGCCTCAACTCCAATTTTGACAAATTCAGACAAATACCAACATTGGTTTAGGCTATGTTATCCATCAGTACAAGGGTTGCTTTGATTTGATAACATCTTGAGTTGAGTTGTGAAATATGAAGAATTAAAAAAAAGGGTGTTTTAGTTGGTGGATTGGCTGGGCAGAGTTTCAGTCTAGAAAACAACATAGAGTTGAGGGAGAATGGTATTGATGTTCCATTTCTATAGAGACAGGTACATAAGTATAAAATTTATAGGTGGTCCCTCCTCCTACTTTGTAAAATTATTTAACCAGTGAGTAAACAGCTACCCCCGAGAGATATTTGTCTGTGTAAATTTTTATTGGAGTAGGAAAAATATTTAGGGGCGGTCTCTCATTGGAGGTGGTCTTTATATATAGGTGGTCTCTCATTGCAGGTGGAATTTCTATAGAGGCGACTTCTCATTGTAGGTGGTTTTCATATAGGGGTTTTCTCTCATTGCAGGTGGACTTTCTATAGGGGTGGCTTCTCATTGGAGGTGGTTTTCATATAGAGGTTTTCTCTCATTGCGGGTGGACTTTCTTTAGGGGCGGTCTCTTGTGACTTAGTGTAGAAATCGCTGGTGTCATAGTGTAGGGCCGCCGTTCTGATTTATTAAATAACCGCGCCAGGTGATTTAGTGTAAATCCGCGCTAGTGGCTGAGTGTAGTGGCGCGCTGGTGACATAGTGTGGAGACGCGCTGGAGTTTTAGTGAACAGAATCATAGGTGACCTTATGTAGGGCCGTGAAAGTGACTTAGTGTAAAGCTGCGCTGGTGACCTAGTGTAGAGCCAAGCTGATCACTCAGTTTATTTGTCGAATTAATTGTTACTTTTATTTTATATATATATATTTATAATTACTTTATAATAATTGTAAATTTAAATTTAGCCCTATATTTGTGTCTATTTTTTTTGCAGTATCTTTCCTAATGTCTTTTGAATATTTTTTCTCAATCAATTGTTGATTACTTAATTAGAATTATAAGCATTGCTTTGTTACTTTTTTCATTTAGTTTTTTTTCACCTTTAGAAAAGAAGATTTGTACAACATATTCAGTATTTTTTTTAGCTCAATTTTGCGTCTGGTTTTCTTTTTTTGCAGTATCTTCTTGGAATCTTTTTTTCTCAATCAATTGTTGATTACTTAATTAGGATTGTAAGCATTCAAAAGAAATGTGCTACAATTAACAGAATTAAGAAAGAGTCAATGATATTTACAGATATGATTTGAATTATATGTTTGGTTTTTTTAAGTGGGTTTTTCCACTTTTTCTTCTAAAAATAATATTTAAGGTTTTTTGAAAATTATCTTCATCTTATCTGCTATCCTGTTTACAAACTTGATAACAGAAACCATTTAAAACATGCTGTCCTATTTTTTTTCTCATTCCCGGGCGGGTACATTTTTGGGGGGGGGCTCAAAAATCATCCATTTTGGTTAGAAGCCCCGTAAATAAAGATTTTTCCTCTTTTTCTCATTCAGCACTTTTGTCTGAAGATGGTAACAACGCTGTTACCTAAACGTCACGCACTATTTATTTGAATTTGGTCTTATTACTTTGTGTCCTTTTATATGTCGTCTTAGTGTTTTCTCAGTGTTAACAATGTGGAGTGTAAGAATGTGGAGGAGCAAAACAACTACCCTACAGAATTTCTCAATAGCCCTACTCCCACAGGAATGCCTCCACACTTGTTACACTTTAAGGTTTGTACTATTGTTTTGATTCTGAGAAATTTGAATCCTAAGCAGGGTCATTTCAATGGCACACGTATGGTGATCCTGCGCATGTGCTCTCATGTTCTTCAAGCTCAAATACTGAGAGGGACCAATGTTGGACACACTGTATTGGTGTCAAAAATATCTTTGGCTCCTTCAGATATCAACCTTCCCTTCATTCTGAAGAGGTATCAGTTTCTAATAAGTTGGCTTTTGCTATGACTATAAAAAGGGTTAAGGCCAAACCTTTGCTTGAGAGGGTCTCTTGCTACAAGAGCCTTGTGTTTATGCATGGACAGCTCTATGTAACTTTTTCACGTGTGCAAACTTTGGATAGCATACATGTAAAGTTGAATCCACGTATAAGTAATATTGTTGCAAATGCGATCCTGCCGAGGTATGGATAAGCTGGTAGTCGTGCACGTGAGGCGAGTGTTGATGTTCTTCCCACACGCGGACAACAAGAAGCAGAGGCAGGGCTAGATGTTAGCACCGAGAGTGATCGGGGACAGCCCACAAAACAGAGGTAGAGGCCATGACACAAACTTGGATGCTTATCCCCGAGACATGAAGAGACAGACTGTGTGAGAGACAGAAGCCGTCTGCCGATGGCCATACCCTAGAACATCTGCTGACCCCCTGCCAAAACCTGTCCTGTTTTCAGGGGTCGTCTATAAAGAGTCCCTGGGGGTCCCACATGGGCTTTGGCATTTTACTCCTCTCTCCCTAGCTGCCCCCAGCTGACCGCTCTTTGGATTTTTATTTTGACGTCAACATTTTTAGAGTTACATACAAATAGGGGTTTACAGGTATTATCAATAAAGATATAGCATATATACAAAATATGGGGGTGGGCAGCAAACAGAAACGGTGTACATTCCAAAAGAAGGGCGGATCTTTTAAGGTATCGGCTCTAACTAATTGGAAGATATGTGACATATACTAAAAGTTTCATTCAGTTTAAAATATACGATATATATATAAAACTAGAAATGTAGTATTTAATGAGGTCCTTCAAATGAATTCCTTTAATAAGTCGACTCCTCTGCAACATAGTTTACAACTATCTTCTCTGTTTTTTTTTTTCTTATCTTTTTTTTTTTTTTCATTTCGAATATTTTTATTTGAACATTTCACCAATGTGTATGTCTAAAAGGTTGATTTTCGATCGCTACGACCCGGATTCACATTTTTATGATTTAAAAAAAAAAAAATGCTACAATGGCCCTTGATTATTGCAAAAGTCAAACCCCATCAGCGAGTGCAAGTAACCAAACGGGACTTTGACACATTTTTGAGTGCAAAGTCGAACTGCTTTTCACATGTCTATACATGTGGTGCACTTTCAGTAAAAGCAGTTGCCTACTTCTACCCACCATGATTATCATGACCTGTACCACGTGTACTAGGGATAAGCAAAAAAAAAAAAAAAAAAACAAACAAAGAATGTCTATAGTTTCTCACCTGAAAGGATTTTTTATTTTATTTCTTTGCTAATAAGCTATTTATTATCAATTATATTGATTTTTATTTACTAATTTTTCCAACTGCTCTATACATAAATTTTGTACATTTTCAGTGGCCGCTGCTCGCCTCTGTAATACTTTTTCAGCGGTAAAGTTGTATTTAAACAACAATCAAATCTCGAATTTTGAATTTTCAAATGGAGAAATTATCGGAAGAGTCGAATTATTAATAGTGTCGAATTACAGTTTGTTATGTGATAGGCCGTAGGTCGAGACATCAAAACATGGTCGAATTATAGTGTGTCGAATTAAATACTGTATATATAGAACTAGAAATGTAGTTTTCAATTATTTCCTTTAAATTAATTCATTTCTTTTATATGTCGTCTTAACTGCAATATTGTTGCGTTGTTTGCAATTTTATTTTTGACTAGCGGATGTGCCCGGCTTCGCCCGGGTTTTACCCGAGTGAATGTTTGTCTAACGAACATTTGTTAAAACAATTCTCTATAAACTTATAAAACGTACTCGGCTTCGCCCGGGGTTTTACCCGAGTAAAGGTTTGTCTAGCGAACATTTGTTAAAACAATTCTCTAAAAACTTATTTAAAAAAAAAGATATATTTTGATAATTTGAAACTCGTAAATTTGAATCTCTCGATAAAGTGAACATTTTTTCCCGGTCCCTGTGTGCCGTGTCATCCTGAATTTTGTCTTTCCTAATTTTCTACATTAGAAAATCATAGTTTTATCTAGTGAACATTTTTTCCCGTGTCACATTGCCGTGTCACATTGCCTTTATTCTT